GAAACGATGTTGCCACACTCAGTCTTCAGCCTTGACAGTTGGCTCTTTCTGGCAGACAGATCTCTGGCAAAGACTTTGGAGCCCTGGTTCCGCTCGATCGCTTCTTTAATACGAGAAGTATTAAAGTTGCGTAAGTCTCGCCGTATGCATTTGGAGATCTGTCTGTTCAGTTGCCTGTATGCTGTCAAATCTGTTGACGATTGCAGCCTCATCTCCCGTCTAACAGCCATGAGATTAAGAGTGTGATCGGAGAGTTTTTGTGTTCTTCTGCGGCGGGTCTTGCAGAACTTAGCTCCGACCGCATGGACAGTTTCCACGAGCTTGTCGTTCATATCGTCCACTGCATTGCAATCTTCTAGGCACTGGAAGCGGTTACGTAATTCGAGCTGAAAGGTTTCGGGATTCTGGATTAGAGCACGAGGGGGGACGGAGCGTTGACTTCATTAGACGAGACCTCTCCAACTTAACGTTTAGGTTCAGTGTGCCTCTAACCATTCGGTGATCGCTGCCAGTTTTCACCCTTGCGATCACTGAGACATCACTGAACAGTTGGCGTCTGGTCGTCATAATGAAGTCAATCTCATTTTTGTCGAACCGTCGGGGCTCGACCAGGTCCACTTCCTGTGGGGCCGCTTCTGGAAGAAAGAGTTCATCATAAAGAGTCCCTCTTTCTCCATAAAGTCGGCCAGCTGCTGGCCCCTTCGGTTCCGTTGCCCTACTCCAAATTTCCCTACCTTCAGCTCACCGCTTTCTCTTGTGCCCAGTTTTGCGTTGAAGTCTCCCATCAACACCGTGTAGTAGGTTTTGGAGGAATGTATGGCTCTGGAAATATCCTCATACATTTCCTCCACCTCCTCATCGGGATGTGCCGAGGTTGGTGCGTAAACCTGAATGACCTTCAGCGAATACCGTTTGGTGATTCTGAGTATCAGGTACGCGACCCTCGTCGACACACTCCCAATCTGTACAACGTTGTTGACGAGAGATTTGTGGACGATAAATCCGACACCTCCTTGGGACAGATGGCCGCCCTCCCGGTGATAGAACAAGTTGCCGGACTCGAGGATTGCCGTGTCCTCCCCCTTCTTCGGACCTCGGATAATCCAATAATATGCCAGCGCAACTTGTCTACCTCTTCTTCCAGCTCCAGTATCTTCTCGTCAGTCCTCAGGGTGCGTGCGTTATATGTTGCCAGGTCGAGTCGTCGTAGGTGGCAACCGAACCTCCACCGGAGATTCTTAGCACCCCCTGCCCCGCCGTTACCATGGTCGCCACCGTAGCCAGGAATAGCGGGGCCGCCGGGGACTGGGGGCCGTCTGTTTGTGTATTTATTCATTGGGGGGTATTTGCCATAGTTGCCACGCTTGGCGAGCGGGTTGGCAACCGCAGTTTTTTATTACGTCACAGTTGTCATCAGGAAGACGCTGCTGCCCATCTCCTGCCTGTCTCCCTCTGTCGCCTCTTACGACACCCACGGGAAGATATGGGGTAGTGGATATTCTTAACCGCCACTACACGGTTATATATATATATATATCATTTTCGATACAGGTAAAAAATATCAATATCGAATTTCGATATAATATTTATTACCTATATCGATGGACGTTTGGATTGTTTTGTGGTCTGAATAGAGGTTGCACTACAAACCAAAAAGGGGTTCTTCAATCGTCATTTCACCATACTCACTTATATAGGTTACGTCCGAGACTTTTTGATTCGCTAATTTGTTGTGAAGCGTCTATTCTACTTGCTGGTAAGAACACCAAAAATGTTCTCATTGGAAGTGGTAGCCCTTGCCGTGAACGATCTTAACTACTGTCGGTTTCCTTGTATCGAGTTATTGTGCGATGAACATATATCGATCATGTAAGTTATGAGACAATCGCGTTTGGATTCGCTTTCGTTAAATAGAGTAACGACGGTGGATCATGTACCCGTTCCAATATTGCAAACTTTTCTCATTTTCGATACGTTTTTATTTTACGAACTTCGTGATCAAAGAAGATTGTTCGGGTAGGTCTGTGTTCGTCTTTGCTAATAGCTTCATAAAAGTACGGTGAACTCACACTTGTTGCTATAAAGAACTAGTTATAGCACAATAAAGAACTTTTATTGCATCGCAATTCATAACTACCACATCTGGCGGTGCGTTCGTTCGTCACTGTTGTATATAAAAATTAAAAAAAGAAAGAGGGTTATTCGTGCTAAATATAGCGGCATATATAAAAATAATTTCATATTACTAGCTAAATCCAAACAAGCTCCGGTCACGAAATAGAAAATAATAAAGGCTTATCGGTAAAGGCGCTGGTCGGGTGGTGGGGTGGTGGGATTAGCCGGTAGTGTTTATTCACAGGTTGCGTGCGGCGCCAGTTTAGCGGCTGTGTAGTTTATGCATGCTTTTTAAGTTTCAAAAACACCTCTTTTACAAACATAATGAGGGTCGAAAGTTAAAAACTCACATAATCCATTCACACTTTTCCACGCCAGAAATGGAACAAAGGAAGAATGAATATTCAGGCCCATTCTTATCAAGTAGCTACGTTTACAATTAATTCTAAGAGAACAAAATTAAATTTAAAAAATAAGAGTACAATAAAAAAATCTGGTTCATCATTATCATCATTATTACAGCCATTCGCAAGTCCACTGCTGAACATAGTGCTCCCACAAAGAATTCCACAATGCACGGTCCTGAGCCACCTGCATCCATCGACTTCCTGCGTGTCTTATGTCTTTTATGGTTAAATAAGTTAAACTATAAGATAAACCTGCTTTTGGGACAATTATTATGTGTTTACCCGTGAGACTACTTTTTAAATTAAGACTTCGCTTATGGTTTTGTCTCTTCTCGAGAGTGCTTTAAATATTACTAAAGAAATGATATATAATACTTAAGTCAGAGGCTCCCAAAGTGAAGTGTGCGTCGCAGCGCCCTGGTGCGCCGTAGAAAGTAAAGAACATTCTCCGGAAACTAAACGTAGGTACAGAATAAACGAAAATAAACAGCGAAAGTATTTTTACAGCTGTAGCTGAAAACAAAGAGCGTCGTTGAAAGATCAATGTGGACCAAGAAATGGGAATAGCGGTGTCAAGCCTTATCCCGTGCTTTGAAAAAACGTGTGGAGGTCATCAAGCTCACACCTCATATTGACAAAGTTCACGTTGTATTTTATTTCCTATTTTTCTTAATTAATAAATGCATTCTTATGTTGTGTCAATATAAATATAAAAACATTCACGTTTCATATCGTGAATGTTTTAATTTTTGGAGTTATCTACCTAGTATCTTTGTACCCTATTTCGACCAGCTAGAAAGCCGAGACAAAATACCTACTTAATTTGTAAGTACGCCGCGAACTGAAAAACCCCTTTGGGAACCCCTGACTTAGGTTATAGTTAGACCTAAAAGTGGATTCATCATAGACAGAAGTCATCTGTATATATCACATCCTTTCTGTAGCAATTGTGAGAGACTGCCGAATTATTATTATTTTGTGTAAGAATATCCACTGCATCATCTTGTCTCGTGGCTGTCGTAAGAGGCGACAGAGGAAAACAAACCAGGAGATGAGCATCAGTATTTTGCTAATAACAACTTAAAATAATAAAAATACTGTGATTCCTACACCAACTGCCAAACGTGGCAAGTATGGCAAGGGGCATGAGGCAATATATTGGGGAAGTCTTATATAGCAGACAATTAAGAAGTCATCAAATCTGATAACGGAAAGCAAAGAGGTCATATTTTTTGGTAGAATTGAAAATAATTTATATACTTACTTGAGCTGATTTCAGAAATTCTATTCCCCTGTCCTATAGGTGTAAGTCAAAACTTTTCAATTTACATAAACTCAATTTATGCGTGTTTAAAGCTCCTGTGGATGGTCTAAAGAACCGGCTAGAAGCTGAGTTATTTCTTTTTTAATCCATGTTACAATTTTATTTACAATTACAACTTGTAATATATGCAATTTTGATAAAGTCATTTTAGTAGCCAGGGGACACTTGCAAGAGCAGAGTTAGAGTTGTTTCCAAAAATTATAAATTATTATATATGTTCTAGTAGGTTTTTTTCAACAATATTTCTCAAATAAATTTTTTAAAATTTGCATCCAGTTATTGCAATACATTTTTATGGTAAGCTGTGAACACGTACAGGTTCGCCGCTGTCACTTCATCAGATTTGACACATCACAAATGCTGGCTAAAGAACACCGATTCCTTACAAGGATGATTCGCGATGCTATTAAAATCAAAAAAACATACTAATTTCAATAGAGAAGATGGCTGCGTGCTACCATCTGCTTGGGATCCTATAATTAATAAAATTCAATCCCAACCAAAGCATTTAGCTGCAAGACTTCAAGATACTATAAGCTCGTTTTGCGTAGGTAAATCGGACCAAAAATTGATATTCAAAAACTGAAGGTAGCCGGACTAACTATGACATTGGGACGTCAAACATCTCAGTCCCCCCGTGACCATTGGTACTGTAAAGTGTTCGAAACGTCGGGAATATAAAAAAGTTAATATATGCGATAAAAAATCCGTAAAAACTTGTATTATTTAAATGTGTAGTGTTCGCGTAAATATGAGAAATCATTAGTATAGCTATAGTGTGTTTCGTATACAAGCCAAGATTCACTGTGGAATGATCAACATTCCATAAAATTACAAAGGTTACGGAATGATCTCCTATCGTCTATAAAGTAAAAATTGATGTAAAATATGAGCATTCATACGTAAAATGTATGTTAGACAGCGGCGTTGCCAAAACTTTCATTCATTACAGCCCATTAAAAGTCTTCAGCTGAACACAGGTCTCTCCCACAGATTGCCCTGTAGGGGGATATTTGCCATAGTCGCCACGCTCGGTCGACAGTCTTGAGTCTTTTTATTATTGTCACTTAACACAGTTGTAACTGGTTATCAAGAAGATGTTGCTGCCAATTTCCTGTTTCGATTTTCGTCTGTCGCCTCTTATGACATCCAATTCATTCAAACTCACCTCCCACATACTTCGTGCCCAACCATATGATAATTAGCGAGCTGACGTGGTGGTAGATGTGGAGGAAAGAGGCCTGTCGCTCCTTTTTCCTCAGCAGGAAGAAAGTCGTCTCGATCAGCTCCATGGATTTGAGGATAATAGTCCACCACATAAAACGCAGCATTCTGACTGCTTCAGGGTTCATGGAGTAATCAGGGAGCATGCAGCCGAAGTGGTAGGTCGTTGTCCATCCCGATGTCAGTATCTAAAAGTTGTTAATATACTTTGAACTTTTTTTATTTTGAAGGAAAGTAGAAAAGGAGATGAGTAGCAGCAAATTGTTGAAAATAATTATAAATTAAGGTTGCCAACTGATCTGCTGAGTGTGGCAACTATACAAAATATCTTTTTTCTTATTATTGGACACTTAATACCTAGGTATGTTCGGCAGTGGACTTTTGATAGCCTGTAAAAAAATGATTGGTCCACAGGTGATCGACTATCAAACCAGCACGTCACCTTGCGCACCTTTCGTGCCGCTTTTACTGAAGGTCTGGCACATTAATACGGTGCCTTTGCCCGGTACTGATGCGGTTAGGTGTGAAACTTGCATGGGATTTCATAAAAGGAAGTGCAGTCCGCGTGATTCATTATTCGACGGAACAATAGTGCAGTAGCTAAGCGTATGGTTGTGGCGCTGTAGAGGCAAGAGAGTGTAGACTGCCTAGCATCCAGATGATGTGGATGGTATCGGAAGTTTTGCCGCGATGTGCGTTCATGAATTTTGGCGGCTGGGTTTAATCCTAACAATTCCTCAGAGCACTCCCCGTGGTAGATGCGAAAGAAAATGTAAAAGGATGCAACATCTCTTCGTAGTGCCAGTGAATCGGGTCGATCGGAAAGGACTCGGTCGTCGATGATTCGAGCCGCTCTGCGCTGGATGCAGGCGTTGCGCTGGATGGATGCAGACCTTCTCAAATCATATAATCAGCTAAAATCTGATTCAAGTATAAATAACAAAATTGTTTAAAAACCACTATTAGAACTTCGTGGACAAATCTTTTTAAGTTGGGACTTCAGTTGTTTTTCTCTTTTTTTTCGGGAGTACTTAAAATAGAATTAAGGAATCGATATATATCATAAGACATAGACTTAAAAGTGTATTGGTTAGGCTGAAGATCGGGAACATAATCTACGGTAAAAGGCGTCTGAGTATTCCAGTCCTTTTTGAGTCGACTATGAGAGGTCGCCGAGCTTGAAAGGGTCTTTCTACAACATTAGACTGTTTCCGAAGTAGTAGTCTTGATTTGGATTCAAATTATTGTAAATTAAAACTTTTACGACCTTATTACAGAACGTAGTTTATTTATAGTCTCGGGCGGTTTTAAATATGATCCCTTAGCCAGTCTTAGGGTTTAAGTTTCCGTAAAACGGATTTCAGTTTAAACCTGAGACTTATTATAAACTTCTCTTTTAATAAGGCCATAAAGGAATAGGAACAAAAGAAAACTTAGGAACAAATTTGAGCTAAAACCACTGTCAGAAACTCGAGGTTAAATCTCAAAGTAAATTGTTTTAAGCGCCGAAACAAATTTATAATTCTATAATCTTGCTTTATTTATCAACATCTAACATGCAAAGTGAAAGGGATACCTTCGTATTGTAAGCTCAGTAATCGTATCAAAGCATTATACTTCATTAAATAATTTCTTTAAATGAATTATCACGAGGCGATCCGATTCGTTTAACAATGGGCGAATTATCGATGCGTATGAAGGATCGATTTCGATTTAATTTAACGACGGGACCCATTAATAACACGTGAAAGCGGAGATTTTGTTAAATGTGCGTTGCGTTATTCAAGGGTCGAGATATGATGATCGATTGTGTCATCGATCATTCCAATAAATATTAGTGTATATGTAATATACGAGACTAGGTGGCCCAGTAGACGTTGATCTGTCCTCTCTGTAGGTGACGCGATGATTTTCACTTTTCTTTTAGCCCATTCTGGATTTTTACAGCGCAAATAATTAAAAAAAAATAACTCGAGCACAGCGCCCGTCTAACCGGTTGGGGGTCTGTGTTTATCTTGTTTATTTATTATGTATATATATGAGTAATTTTGGTTGATAAATATAGAAGAAGAAAAAACATGTGTACCGTCACACGGTTAAAGTGAAATCATCAAATTAAATGTACAAAAAATAAAAATACATCACGGCAAATGATTTATTTAATCACAAGTGCGGCATAAAATATATAATAAAGGTTTAATTTTATAGCAGAAAAAACTTTACAATCCTTTATTTTTAAACATGTAGAACTTCAATTTTAGTGTATATATGAAAAGAATTGTTTATTTCGAGTATAATTGCGCCATCTACTTTATTCTCTAAGATTTTCATCAGACAAAAATTGATCGACTCAAGGTGTTACGTAAAATAGACGCTGGATGGCTTAAACACGACTAATTTAATATAAATCTGTAGGTGATGAAATCGTGGATTGTTGTGAATGGATTGGATATGGTAGTTTTATTCAATAGGAGCGATCTGCCTTTGAATAAAAGAAATGGCCGAGTTCCCGGCGCCCCTTCAATGGGGTAGGGGTGCGAAGAATCTCCGGGAGAAAAACCGGCGACGAGGTTCGCCACCCGTCACGTTCTGTCTCCCGGAGGGGCGAAAAGTGGATTGCGGAAACCCGTCTGGCTACGCCGAATGTATGTGGAGGAATGAATGATAAGATGGATGAAGTATGCGAAATGATGAATGACAGAGGAATAGATGTGTTATGTGTAAATGAGACGAAACGAAAGGGAAAGGATGTCACTGCACATGGCACGTATACCGCGTATTGGTCTGGTGTAGACGAGACCGAACGGGCATGCCAGGGAGTCGGTTTCATCCTTTCAGGAAGAATGGGTCAATGTGTGAAAGAGTATGAATGTGTAAGCCCGAGGCTGCTATGGATACGAATGAAAGTGGGCTTAAAGAAGCTGTTCCTGCTAGGGGTGTACTGCACTTACATCCGAGGGCAGTTTTGGGACATGGTAAGGATGGTGTTGACAAAATGTAAGGAAAATGAAAATATTATTATGTTAGGAGACTTTAATGGAAGGGTTGGGGTGAAGAGGTCTGGTTATGAAAGAATATTGGGAACGTTTGGTGATGAAAGTATAAATGAGAATGGTGAAGACCTCCTCACCGTATGTGTGGAAAAGAATATTTTTGTGACGAATACTTTTTTTCGTCATAAGAAGATTCACATGTATACATGGGAAAGAGGTGATGATAGAAGCACGATAGATTTCGTAATTGTGGATGAAAGAATGAGGAGCGCAGTCGTAGATACAAGGGTTTACCGGGGGTCCAACTTAGGGACGGATCATTACTTGGTCTTATGTCGAATTAATGGTCTTTTCAAGCGTTGGCGGCATCGGATATCTGTGTCTACCACTGCGTTACAGCGTATAAGAATAGAGAAGTTACAAGATGAAGATGTGAAAGAGAAGTATAAATGTAGACTGAGAGGAAATATTAGATGTTTGAATGAGTTGTGTATGAATGATTTAGACTTGAATACTGTGTGGGATAATATTAAGAAAGGTTTGTTGGATGCCGCCACCGAAGTATGTGGTGTAAGTAAGAGAACAAATGAAAGGAAAAGTAATACGTTGTGGTGGGATGATGAGGTACGGGTGGAAGTTGAATCAAAGAAGAAAGCATGGTTATATTTACTAGCAACCAAAGCTGGTAATTGTTCTTGTATGAATGATGAGATTGAAAGAAAAAAAGCAGAATTTAGACGTCTAAATAAGAGAGTAAAAGAAGTTGTTGAAAGGAAAAAGAAAGAAAGAACGGATAAGAATGATAATTTCCAGGCTAACATAAAAATGTTCTGGAATTTCGTAGAAACTGCCAGGGGAAATACAAAACAGCCTCTAATAAATGCTATAAGGGACGAGAATGGATATATTCTGAATGATGAAGCTTCGAATTTAAACAGATGGAAGGAATACTTTGAAAGCGTGTTTATGAGTGAAGAGTCGTCTGAATTAAATGAACTAGAAATTCCGATAGAAGTGGAAAGGGGTATGGAGATAAGTGTAGATGAAATAATGAAAGCAATGAAAAGCATGAAAGCAGGTAAGGCAGCTGGATATGATAGAGTATCACTCGAGATGCTAAGGGCTGGAGAGGGAGTGGTGGCAGGCCCGCTGTACACCTTGTTTAATTTATGTTGGGAATTAAAACGGGTACCGGATGACTGGTGTAAAGCAGTTATAGTACCAATATATAAAGGAAAAGGAAGGAAGTCACAGCGGGACTGCAAAAACTACCGTGGAATCAGCTTGCTTAGTTTTGTGGGTAAACTGTATGCTAAGAAGGTGTTAATTGAAAGAGTTATGAAAGAAACTGATGGAAAAATTTGGGATGTGCAAGCGGGTTTTAGAAAGGGAATGGGGTGTACAGATCAAGTCTTTTCCATGCGCATGATTGCGGAGAAGTTTTTGGCCAAAAACCAGAAAGTTTTTTGTGCGTTCATGGACTTGGAAAAGGCTTATGACAGAGTGGACAGGAATGTGTTATGGCAAACACTGAACTCATATGGGTTGAGCGCTGGTTTGATACAGGCATTAAGGTCTCTTTATAGGGACTCTAGTGCTTGTGTCAGGATCTATGGGGTCTACTCGGACTGGTTTGGCATCCAAAAAGGTGTCAGACAGGGCTGTGTAGCTTCCCCTTGGCTGTTCAACCTATTTATGGACAGGTGTTTGCAAACTTTGAAAGATGAAGAATGTGGGTTAAGAATGGGCGAGTTAACCGTCAAATGCCTTTTGTATGCCGATGATCAAGTCATATTTGCGTCATCGGCGTCTGAGTTGCAAATGATGGTTACATTAATGAACTGGGAATTAAAAGAAAGGGGAATGAAAGTGAACGCAAGTAAGACGAAAGTGATGGTTTTTGAAAGAGAAGAAAGCAAAACGGTATGTGAAATAAGAATAGAAGGAGAGTTAATTGAGCAAGTGGATGAGTTTGTGTATTTGGGATGTGTATTTAGCAGGGATGGTAGATACGATAGGGATATAGAACGACGAGTAAATGCAGGGAATAGAGTGAATGGGGCATTACACTCTATTATTAAGAACCAGAATGTGTCAAAAAGGGCACGTATGGTATTCATAATGCTGTGTTAGTCCCTACTTTAATGTATGGTAGTGAAAACTGGGTGTGGCAGAAGAAGCACGAAAGTAGAATAAATGCTGTAGAAATGCGGTCATTAAGGAGTATGCTAGGGTTGAATCTGAATGACAGGGTGAGAAATTGCGTGATAAGAGATAAATGTGGTATGCAAGATGATGTTGTGACCAGGATTAAGAAAGGAATGCTTCGGTGGTTTGGTCATGTAGAAAGAATGAATGAGGAAAGAGTGACAAAGCCAATTTATATGGCAGATGTGAACGGCCGAGTCGGGAAGGGATGCCCTAGAAAAAATTTTATCGACCAAATTGGCGATATTTTGAAAAGGGGCCGCGTTAGAAGTACCCTTAACCGACGAGCATGTATGCGTAGATATATGGATGTAAAGGAGGCGAAAGAGGTCTGTCAGGATCGTGCCAAATGGAAGTCCGTAGTCTCTGCCTACCCCTCTGGGTGACAGGCGTGAGTGTTTATATATATATATATTTTATAAATTTGTTAATTCTTTTAACTATTTAGATAGAATGAGATAGAATTAGCACCACACAAAAAGTATTCTATCTCATCTCTCGCAGGCTAAATCCTATAGATGTGTATGTTTGTCTCTTTTTACTTTGATCGAGTTTAAAATGACACCGGTTCTAAAGATATTTTCACTTCAACAACTGGACTACAGCGCCACCTAAAGGGTCATAACATAGCAAGAAACTTTTGTTTCCGTAAGTTGTTCGAAAATTACAATACCACTAACAGACGAACGATTATGACTGACGAAGACGAACGAAGATGAGCCGTGGCGGCGGAAAGGAAAAATTTAAATTTTCCACCTGCCAACAATTTTTTAGAACCACTCTGCAGCTATACCAGCGTGAAATAGCAGCTAATTGCTGCTGTGTTTCGTATGTTGAGTGTAGAGAACCGGAGACTCTTTTTACTGGAAACGAGGCATTCCATCTTCGTCCTTGGGGGGTGACAACGTATATCTGCATTTTTATTATCAATCGAAATATATATGAACCATAGTGTTCAATTATCAGTAAGGTGGGTTCACGCTAGACGAGCCGAGCTCGAGCTGAGCACAAGCTGAGGTGCTCTACTCGCGGTGTCAAGTGTGGACGTACAACAAGCCTACAACATGCAAATCGATCCATGCGGTGCAAATCCCTGTTCTGTGTTCATCAAGTAACCAACAATAGGCGGAGCACAATCGGGCACGAACCAAACGCTCGAAGCGCGCTCGTTCGAGGCTTGTCCTCGTAAGTCGGTCCATAGTACACGAATTTGTGTTCGGCTCATGCTCCGCTCGTACTCGGCTCATCTAGCGTAGACCCACCTTTAGGTCTATAATGTTCTCGTTTATCATGCTTACTCTATAAAAAAACTTTTTTGCCGACAACGACTTCATTCGGGCGGAGGTTACGCGCTGGTGTTAAAATTAAAATCACTTTTTTTTTAAAAAAAAAAGTAAAGATGAAATACGAACACACTATCCACCTGATAGTGAATACGATAGTTCGTAGATATGTATTGAGAAATCCTGACTCCCTCCCACTCCTAAAGACTAAGATATAATGCCTCGTTACCAGTAAAGTAAAAATTATCTCCGATTCTCTGCACACGCTGTACGAAAATTGCAGCACGAAAATAACCTTTTTTATAGGATAGGGTGACAAACGAGCACACAGTCCACCTGGTAGTAAGTGGTTGCTGTGGCCCATAGACATCTATCTTAACTATACAAAATATAGCAGTATTATGCTGCTATTTGATGCTGGTATTCTGTGAGAGCGTGGTCCTTCTCCGGTCGAGCCAACCCATTCGTGCTACGTGCAGCGTGGCTCTGCCACTCCTGTTTTATTTTATGCTTGTCGCCTCTTAAAAACTCCTACAGGATGATACATGGATGTGTTCTTAGTAGGCTACACCCACCAATACATTTTTAATTAATATATGGTTTTTGTGTATCCTTGTGCTTTTAATCATTATCGTATTCTTTACATACTCACTCCCCAAGCGACGATGGCGTTGGCCACTATCTGAACTATATTGTACCATTTGATGACAATCTTCAGCTCGTATGGTGGACGATTCCTCATGTACTTTGGCAGTATAATTTTTATTAACGTTAAGTATCCGGCTATAATGGAAATTAAAGGCCACGGTGACGTCATCAGGAACCAGTGTTTGACCCGTGGATCTGTGAAGCGAATAACATTATGGTAATTGTTAGTAACACAAAACCATGATTAATTCCAATAATTTTATCATCGTCATCATCATTATTATTACAGCCCTTCACAAGTCCACTACTGAACATAGGCATCCCCCAAGGAATGCCGAAAAGCGCGGTCTTGATCAAGAACCAGCATCCATCGACTTCCTGCATTACTTACTAGGTCGTTACTCCATCTAGTGGAAGACCGCCCTACACTTTGCCTGCCGATACGAGGCTGCCACTCGAGAACCTTTCTTTCCCATCGGTTGTGGGTTCTTCGAGCTATATGGCTGGCACATTGCCACTTCAGCTTGGCTAGGTGGGTTCCTCTGATACTTACCGATGTGCGGTTGCCTTTCACCATTCCGCACACGTCACTGTCACTCTGCACCAGACCTCTCACTTGTTTATATCCAACAAGCATATAAAGAACAGTTTTCATTCGAGTCATGTCTTCTACACACACGTTTGTCTTAAGGGAACACTATAAATTTGATGAGTATGTATATCGTCGGATCTTTGCCTAAGAGAAAGTTTGATACACTTACACATACTTCTACAGTAACATCTTGTGGCTTAAATGCTGTATTAAATATTTTAACTTTTTTATTTTATAGAATAAAGATGACAAACAGTTGACAAACCTGATGGTAAGTGGATGCTGTGGCTAAATAGACATTTACATATTTTATCCTCGATTAAGAAGCAATCAACGATGCATTGTCACCCCTAAAGAATAAGATGAAATGCCACTTTTCCAGGATCCCGTCTACGGTTCTCTACACTCAGCATACGAAACACAGCAGTATTGAGCTGATACTTTACGCTGGTATTCTGTGAGAGCGTGCTCCTAACCCGGTCGACCCAACGAATTCTTGCTACAATTATAATATAAATGCAGCGTGGCACTATACGTATATTTTATCCGTCAGATGTCTTCACATAACATCGTCATACGCAGAAGTACAGCACCATGTTTCCGATACTACTCAGAGTAATGGAAACTGAAGTGAGCCAGCCCGCCTTTCAAGCGCGGCAACTTGCAAATATTCCTCTATGAGCAATCTATATAACCTAATCTATTATTTAGAATATTTTTCGCCTTGACATTGACTATGTTCATCTTTAGCCTATCAGACCATCATATTCGATAATCTGTAGTACTGGTGCTAATGTTTATTTTTATTTAACAGCGACTGTACCATTTCTAGAATAGAAAAAAATGTATTTTTGAAAAATTTTGCAAAATTAGCGATTAACGACAGGTATATCGAAGGCTGCTGTATTAAAATTACCTCTGTCGTTTGAGAATTAACAGCGCTTTAAAATGTTCCCTCATTCTCATAGTCCGATGGAACGGTAATCCGTCACGACGAGATATACTAGGCGCAGACCTAAGGCTTTAGGTACTTTGCCGCAGCATGGGGGGAACACCTCCAACTTTCTAACTCCGAGCTGCTACTGAGTATTTCTTCGCAAAAAAAATCTAACTGATATTGGCCCGACCCGGAATTCGAAGCCGGAGCCTCATGAACAACAATCGCATTAATTGCGAAACTGGAGTAGCAGCCTTTCAGGTAGTGGTATCTTACCGGCCTATCGAAACACGAATTCGATCATTTCAATTAACGATTAGCCGTGGTAGCTCAGATGGTTAGCGCTCGCTGTAAATTTCACAATACTCGAGCAAACCGCGTTCGATCCCCTCCGGCGCCAATGTAATTGTTAATTGCAATTTTAAGTGCTAATTTACCACGTGCTCGCCGGTAAAGGAAAACATCGTGCGGAAACCTGCATGTCTGAGGAATAAGAAAAAAAATATTTCGAAGACATGTGAAGTTCGCCAACACGCATTGGGGCAGCGCGGCGGACAATTCCTTGTCGTAAAACCCTCTCAGAAATGAGAGGAAGGCTGTGCCCAGGAGTGGGACGGGATATAGGCTGTAACTTTTAACTTTAGTTATTGACAGTAACCATCTCAAGTGTGTTCTGCTTTAAATAGGCCGATTGGCTACTTATTTGAAACATAATATAGCATTGACGTTCGTGATCCCCAGGTTAAATGTAAGTAGATACATAAACCGATGAAACTTAAAGTAAAAAGTTATACTAACAATCCATACACGTCCCACTATTGGGCAAAAGTCTCCTCTCATTTTTACGGTTATGTCGCTTTTGTCAGACGCGCTGAATCAGATAACTAGTGCGTATTGGTGGTCTTCACACGTCTTTCAATTTCTTTTTCCAGACATGCACGGTTCCTCACAATATTTTTCTTCGCTACCGAGTGCTTAACATTTAAGGAGTCGCTAATGGGTCCTACGTCCTTAATAATTTGCTTAATAACTATTAAAATTGGACGTTTGCTACGTTGCTGCTCTTAGTACCTTTTAACGATAGTGTAACTCAGCAAATAACGACGTTGGTAGACAGTTAGTTTAAAAAGTCTCAGTAGATCGTTGGAATTGGAAGGTGTGATTTTACTTCAAAGAATATATTGTATTTTTTATTAATATTTCTATGATGATTGATCTCTCTCAACAATTTCATTTGTCATGGCCTGAGTTGCTCCTGCGCTGTGCAACGTTTCAACCTTCATGTGACGCATAGTGGTTATTCTTACACCGCCACTAATCGTTTCATAAACCGAATACAATACAATAGTTGAGTTAAAAAAAGGAATTTTAGCAGCATAATGATGTCGATAGGAAATACTTTCAAACCTACTTATGTTACACAACTTAGTTTTGCTAAAATCTCGCATTACGTTGGTTTTCCTAGCGAATGAAATTCTAATATACTAGTGATATGCCCAGGATTTTAAACGGCTGATATCTGGATTGTACAATAGCGCCACCTACCGGGTTTTAATATGCCTGTAACCTTCGCGAAAGTGCAAGCAATATGTTGACAAAGTTTTACCGCAATCTGATGAATGATATGACTCCGCATAAATACGAACAAACAATTATTATTTTTTATAGTTATATACAAAAGATAATATTTGTTTGTTTATCAAGCTTTATATCTACTAATATTAATATTAGTAGTATATAAAACTAACGTACTTAATAATACTGTAATTATAATTTAATAAAAAAATTATAATTTTTTTAATTGCATGATATATACTTGTTAAAGATATTGATTATTTAATAACTATCATCATCATCATTACAGCTCTTCACAATTCGACTGCTGAACATAAAGCTCCCCCAAGTTATGCCACAAAGCCGTCCCGAAAGTGCAAGCAATATGTTGACGGTACGGCAACGCATAAAATGGGAACATACAAATATAAATTTTTATATATTAGAATAAGGTTTACATAATATTGGATACTATAAATTTAGTTACCTGCTCTCTTGTAAAGCAAGGTGTCGTAAGTGGCAGCTAGCGTATCCATCGTGAACACCGACACCTGGAACAGTGGAAGTCTTGCACAGTACACTAACTTACACTGTCTGCTGGCAGTTGTTTTTGGATGTAAATCATTTTAAATATTCATTTGGGAATTAATTACGCGGGTCATTAACGTTATGTGTCGAATTTGAATAGGTTTGCCATCCTTTTACGGGGACATGTCCACGAATCTTGGGACAACCGTTGGATTTTACATATGTTCGGTGTTTCGTGAAAATTTCGTGAAAATTCGTTGCTTGAGTCATGGGAATAGGATTTTTTCATGTTAGTTGTTAGATATGTTTGACAGTGGTAGAGCCACGCGGCAGCTTTGCTGTTGCACGTATGGGCCGGCTCAAACCGGGGTGGTACCACGACCTCACAGAATGCCGGCGTAAAGTGGAAGCTCTGCTTCCGCGTTTCGTCTGGTGAGTGCAGGTGTCGGGAGGCCCAAATCCCCCCCCCCCATCAACATGGTAGCGGAATTAAATGATGATATAGTACCCCAGGGGGGTACCAGCACCCCTGGAGAATCCCTCGCTGAGCATCCATGACCATGTTTCTCCACCTCTGAGCGTGGGTGCTCAGGCGCGTATTCTGGGGGGGGGGGGGGGGGGCAAAATTCCGCTCAAGACTACAACTGCTCAGGGAAAACGGAGCAACAAGACCAAGGCGACCCCTGCCACGCTGTCCGTGAATTTCTGCAATATCGGGGGGACTTCACTCTAACCTAAACGCCGTCCACTACCATCTCGTGACGACGAGGCCGGCTCTGCTCTTTCTGACCGAGACGCAGGTGTCCTCTCCGGCTGATGTCTCGTATCTCTCCTACCCGGGGTACAAACTGGAACACTCCTTTGTGCCTCGGTCTGGAGTTTGCGTTTACGTCAGAGAGGACATCTGTTCTCGACGCCTCCGCAGACTTGAAGGTTCGGACCTGTCCATCCTTTGGCTACGCGTAGACAGCGACGACCATCCGCGCGTCTACGGGTGACTCTATAGGTCCCATAGCGGTAATGCCGAAACAGACCGACTCTTCGACCACGTCCAAATGGCTGCAGATTCGTTGCTACACCAGATCCCCTCCGCAGAGATCGTGATCCTCGGCGACTTTAACGCCCATCACGCCGAATGGCTTGGTTCACGTTTAACCGATCATGCGGGGAGATCTGTTCATGATTTTGCCTTGGCATATGGTCTGACACAACTGGTTACTTCGCCTACGCGGATTCCAGATGTGGAGGGCCATGCTCCTTCCCTGTTGGACCTTCTGCTGACCTCTCACCCAGACGGATATCAAATTTCCGTCGACGCCCCTTTAGGCTCCTCTCTGGAGTGTGGTGCCACTCATGATGAAATCGCAGTTGCATTTTGCAGGCTGCCGCCGTGTTTGGCACTATAGGTCAGCCGATTGGGATGGGATGCGGTCTTTCTTTGCATCTTACCCTTGGGGGCGGGTTTGTTTCTCGCCGGACAGTCCCAACGTTGTTGCAGATTCTGTCGCTGATGTGGTACTTCAGGGTATGGAACTATTTATTCCTTCCTCTGTGGTGCTCATTGGAGGCAAATCTCAGCCATGATTTGGTCGGTCCTGTAAAATAGCGTCATGCTATAAGCAGGAGTGCTACCAAGCCTGGGCTGATGCATCAGCGTCCCGGGATATAAATACCAGCGCTCTAAAAAAAAAGTATAATTCCGCCTCCAGGTCCTTCAAAAGAGTCATTGCAAAGGCAAAGTCAGAGCATATTGGCAGAATTGGCGAGAAACTAGTTCGCCTTCCTTCTGGATCCCGTGCATTCTGTTCTCTCGCCAAGGCTGTCCAGGGGAATTTCTGTCAGCCATCTCTTCCATCTCTGCACAGGGATGACGACTCACTGGCCCATACCGCAAAGGAGAAAGCCGATCTTCTAGGCTCTTTCTTTGCGTCCAACTCGACTCTCGATGACTGGGGGAGTACGCCGCCAACCATCCCGCGGTGTGAGTGCTCCGTGCCGGAAGTGCAGTTCACACAGCGCTCGGATCGCAAAACACTCCTCTCCCTGGACATCCACAACTCGAATGGGCTTGACGGAATCCCCCCAATTGTGCTGAGGACGTGTGCTCCAAAGTTGACACCAGTTTTAACGCGTCTTTTCTGGTACTCCTACTCCCTAGGCGTAGTCCCAAAATCATGGAAGACGGCTTTCCTCCACCCGATCCCTAAAAAGGCTCAGACCCAACTATCGGCCTATCGCCATCACCCAAGGAGGTGATGGCGATAGGTATTTTATAGGGTATTCTCCACAATAATGGAGTTCATTGTAAACTGCCAGCTCATGAGGTACCTTGAGGATCACCAGCTGATTAGTGACCGCCAATACGGTTTTCGCCGTGGTCGGTCAGCAGGAAGCAGTAGGGTCCAAGGGGGAGGCATTGGCCGTTAGTTTGGACATTGCGAAGGCCTTCGATCGGGTTTGGAACAAAGCGCTTCTTTCGAAGCTCCCTTCCTTTGGGCTTCCCGAGAAATTGTGCGATTGGATCACCAGCTTTCTTGCAGATCGGAGCATCAAGGTCGTTGTAGACGGTGCAAGCTCCGATTGCAAGCCTATTAATGCTGGTGTTCCACAAGGCTGCGTGCTATCGCCAACGCTGTTTCTTCTGCATATCAATGATATGTTGCAAACCCGTAACGTTCATTGCTATGCAGATGACAGCACTGGTGATGCTCTTTACACCGGGCGAGCCAATATTTCTCAGGAAAACGTCTCCGAGTGCCGGGACAAACTTGTGTCTGAAGTCGAGTCTTTGCTGAACAGAGTCTCGGATTGGGCGACTAAATCTAGTCCAGTTTAACCCCCAGAAGACACAAGTTTGCGCGTTAACCGCTAAAAAGAACCCCTTTGTCGTATCCCCTCAGTTTCAAGGCACTCCCCTTGTTGCCTCAGCCAGTATCGGAATCCTCGGCGTCGACATATCGAGTGACGTACAGTTTCGTGGTCACTTGGAAGGGAAGGCCAAATTGGCCTCTAAAAAGCTTGGCGTGCTCGGCAGAGCGGGACAGTATTTCATGCCGGCACACCGCCTGCAACATTACAAGGCGCAGGTTCGGCCGCACATGGAATACTGTTCCCATCTCTGGGCTGGGGCTCCCCAGTACCAGCTCCTTCCACTTGACCGCATCCAGCGCAGAGCGGTTCGAATCGTCGACGACCGAGTGCTTTCCGATCGGCTCGATTCACTGGCGCTGCGAAGTGATGTTGCATCTCTTTGCATTTTCTTTCGCATATACCATGGAGAGTGCTCTGAGGAATTGTTCGGATTAATCCAAGCCGCCAAATTTCGTGAACGCACTACGCGGCAATCGTCCCGATACCATCCACACCATCTGGATGCTTGGCGGTCCACCACTGTACGTTTCAAAAGAAGTTTTCTTCCGCGTACAACCTCTCTGTGGAATAGTTTACCACCGGCGATTTTTCCGGACCGATACGACCTGGGGACCTTCAAGAAAAGAGCTTACTACTTTCTAAAGGGCCGGCAACGCACCTGCAATTCCCCTGGTGTTGCGGTTGATCATGGGCGGCCGTAGTCACTTAACATCAGGTGAGCCGCATGCTCGTTTGCCCCCTCTTCTATAAAAAAATGTCAGCCCATACAGACAGACGGCGGCAATAAACGTCGACGGCGGCAGCGGCTGTCGCCGACTGAATGACGACACCCTGCAGTTTGTTATTTGACTGCAAATAGTACAAATGCTACCACATATAAAAACTGGCTACCTTTTTTTAAAAGTATTATTCTCTATAATACCCACAACGAAATTATTTTTCCTTTTTCAAAACCTTTCTGCGACTGGCCCCTGGTATAAAGTTAAAGCCGATCTCTGACGCAAAGCATGACTGTAGTCGACGACATGTCGACGCCAGCAGGTGCTGCTGTCGTTGGCAACAAATCGTTTGTCTTTGATGACGCTGTTCAATCTCATAATAATAGTTTATTATTGTTTTTAAGAGCTCGTAAATGGGCTTAATTGCATCTTGCTATGCTGCGATGTAATTGTGCAAGACCTTGCACAGTATATTCCGGTATTGTGACTAAAACTGTATCTATTTACACTTGAAGCAACATTAAGGCTATAGAACTGAGAAGGAGTTAGAAAGTATTGCGGTCATAGAGGCTGTTGATGTTGCTGCACTATTATCGTAATGTATTTGTATGTAAATATATCTTAAAAGAGAGGAACAAGAAGACATGCTAGCTTCTCCTTCCTACAAAATTCAGGACGCACAAGAATTTGACTGCATGTTAATAAGCACACAAGAAGAGTCACCATAAGACCAAAAATACCAAAAACGTTTTCGTTGTGTTCACGGGTTGAATTGATTACGATTGGCGCCAGAGCGTTGGTAAGGGGTGGAAAGAGATAAACATAAACAACAGAGCAATATGACGTAAATATTTTCCGGGGAAGTAATTAATTTTGTTTTTATTACTTGCGATCTTGACCGCTGGACACTACGCGGAGTAGAGCTACTGCAATGCTGCTGGGCTAAAGGATTGCCACAAGACTAGCCGCCAACGAGCGCCTTGAGAAAATCTATTAACGGGGTTAGTGTTCACGCAGTATAATTTTTTTATAGAATAAGGGTGACAAACGAGCACACAGTCCACCTGATGGTAAGTGGATGCTGTGGCCCATAGACATCTACATCAATCCTCGATTAAGAATCAAAATGAAGATTCGTTGCCACCCCTGAGGACTAAGATGGAATGCCTCGTTTCCAGTAAAAAGGTATCCGATTCTCTACACTCACCAAATACAGCAGCACTGAGCTGCTATTTTATTGTGGTCCTGTCCCGGTCGAACCAACCAATTCGTGCTACAACCATAATATAGCCGTAGCTAAAATACTTGGTAAAGCCATGCTGCACGTACAATAATTTTAAATTAAGATATATTCCTGCCTGTATCCCATTGGCCAAATTGAAAACACGTTTTATTTCTAAAAAACAAATCAACCAACTTCTGATAATAAATATTCTTTCTTTTAAATATTTCGTCAACAAACTTTTGTTATTACAAATACCACGGAAATAAAACATTATTTTTTTATTAGTACCATTGGGGCCCCATTAAAAATACATCTATATAAATATTTATTTATATTTTCACTTTAATTTTATTTTTTTACTCCTTAATTACAATTACTTAAATACACCGAAAAATAACATTTTAATAATGCATTTAATTCACGTTCAAGGGTTCAAGGGTTCAGGCGTTAGAAAGCATATAATTATCATAATATGTATACGGTGTGCCGAAAGTCAATACCCGTCGATACCTACTGAGTTACCATAGCGTTCGGCATATCGTCGATATCATTAAAATTATATAACCTTTTTTTTTTCAAGAGATAAATTTCGTAATATTTTTTAAAAATAAAACCGAAAGTCAGTAATAGGTGGCCACTGCGGTCCATGACCACTTGAAGCCAACTCAAACAAGGAAGGGTAGAGATGCGTTCTCACCTGTGCGAACAAACATGGAATGCTTCATAGCCTATAGTTTTAATGGCTCTGTATACTCTTCATATCTTCGCACAGCAGTGCCAGCAGGTTTGCCAGATCGGAAGATCAAAATGTCCGGACAAATTTTGAAAATGTAGGGATTTTGGGATTGTTGCCGGGAGAAATAAATATTAAAAATAAAAGGTTAATTTTTTTTTAAAGTTAGAAGCCACAAAAAGTACCTTGCTACATGTATTTTTACCAATTCTGAGACTTTACCAATTTGAATCCTTTAGTAGTGTTCGGAAAAGATGTAAAATTCAAACAATTTACTTTAAAGTTTACTCTAATTACTAACTCAGCTTTTATTAAATCAAAGGCCACATTAACTTTCCGAGAAGCTGTTTGTCTGAGATTTCAGTTTTGGCGGGAGTCTGGAGATCATTTGAAATGTCGGGAGAATCCAGACGAATCCCGGCCATCTGGCAATCCTAAGTGCAAGTACTGCTATTTAGTAACAGAAATAAACAAGAGAGTGCTACTTTTTAGACAGAATTCTAGACAAATAAGGAATGAAACGAGCTTGTACTTCATATCTGCCTCACCTATCTTCTTCTGCATCACTCTTCACCCCCTTAGGTCCCCTGCTGAGCATCAGTTTTTCCTGTATTGAAATTTTTGATGGGAAAAATTGAAGTTTTCCCAGAAGAAGTGGTCCATTTTCGCAGGTTGGACAAGCTACACGTAGTTAGTGATTGGCGTTTGCATGGTTTAAAAATAAAAAAAGTTTTTAGTGTTGTCGGGTTATGTTTTTAACATGCCCACGAATTTCAAAATGACAGCGGCCAAATATTACAATATTACATTATGTCTATGCAGAGATAACTCAGGGATAAGAGAGCCGTGGTGTCTCTGGAGCTAACGCTCGCTGAAAATCTAACAGAACACAAGCAGCCCGTGTTCAATATCCTTTGGCACCATTGAACTATTGTTAATTTTAATTGTTGGCTTGCATTTTAAAGTTCATATTTTGTGAATTTTCGGGTGAATAATAACAAATTATTGAAGGAAGCTGATAATAAATTTAAATATCTATAAAAATGTTTAACTAAAAATTCAGTGTACGTAATACTAATTGGGGTGTCTGAGGGTGTGCGTTAATTACGTTACATATATATATATATATATATATATATATATATATATATATATATATATATATATATATATATATATATATATATATATATATACATTTTTTTTCTACAGATATTTAAATTTATTATCAGCTTCCTTCAATAATTTGTTATTATTCACCCGAAAATTCACAAAACATGAACTTTAAAATGAATATACAATTTTAGTCACTTTAAACGGAGACTATTTAATGTATTGAACAAAATATTAATTCATAAAATTGTTCAAAATGAAATAAAATTACGAAAAATAACTGGCTATGACAGAAAGAGAGAAAAAAATGTGCGCGCGCACTGCTCTCTCTCTTGCTGATATCCCCCACTCAACTCCCTTTCGCCTTACCCGATTACACTTTTCGTAACGCTTTCGTCACGCGTTTGCCAGCTTACTCCCAATGTCAAGCGTGCGTAAAGAAGTTTTACTTCAAAAACTGCGACTGCCGACCTGCTTGCCAAGTGTGGCAACTATGGAAATATTATATAATATAATATATGAGGAAATGTGGAAATCCCAGTGGCGAAGCTAGAGCTCCAAGCTAGGGCAAACCCAAGATATAAATTGATAAAAATATAGATTGTTGTTTTTAGCAGTTTTATAAAAATACGCCAATCTTGATCTGTCTCCACGCTTCAGTTTCATATTCAGGCTTTGTTTAAGCGAAAGAAAAAAAATATTTACATACAATACAATACATGAACAAAAGTAAAACACGAACAAAGTACAAACAAACTATGTACAAAATTAAAAAAAAATATTTACATTCTAATGGATAAGAGATAAGATAAGTGGAATCGTCTCGCTTTCTTATGGAAAGATTTAATTACGTCTACGTAAAATGTTAGTGAACTTTTTAATTGTACCAATAACTGTTTTTAATTGCGATAATTGATAAGTCTGAAATACACTCTTAAGCTTGTGTATTATCTCAACAAAGTTTAAAGATTTCCTCTCCGATTATCACTTTAACACATTTCAATTCATCACAAGGAACACTATTATCCTCCATTTTCATTAAAAATCTTTAAAAAAGCATAAATTTTGAACTCGTAATATTAAATCGCTTAAGATAAGCACACAGAGTAAATAAACATTGAAACGTGAAATGAACTTGCAAACGTATTGCCCGCGCGCCTCCGCTTTTAACAAATTTATTCCCAAAAGCCTGGCTTTAAATCTCTATACTAATTGCTATATATACAATCGTAGTTATATTTCATTATAGAATATTTGCAGACTCGACGACTTCCAGCCTCCCGAACAAGCCGGTTTCCGAAAAGGCTTCAGTACCATAGACCACATACATACCCTGCGGCAGATTGTACAGAAGACCGAAGAGTACAATCTGCCACTTTGCCTGGCGTATGTGGACTATGAGAAAGCCTTTGATTCCGTCGAAATTTGGGCGGTGCTACAGTCTCTTCAGCGGTGCCTAGTTGACTGTCGGTATATTGAAGTGCTGAAGTGTTTGTACAGTAGGGACTACGATGGCTATCCGAGTACAGAACCAGAGTTCGAATCCTATCTAACTGCAGAGAGGTGTAAGACAGGGTGACGTTATATCCCCGAAACTCTTCACCGCTGCGTTGGAAGACGTTTTCAAGCTACTGGACTGGAAAGGATACGGTATTAACATCAATGGGGAGTACATCACTCACCTTCGATTTGCCGATGATATAGTCCTTATGGCAGAATCCCTGGAGGACCTTAGCACTATGCTCAATGACCTTAATGATGTCTCCCAACGGATATGTCTTAAGATCAACATGGACAAAACAAAGATCATGTTTAATGTCCATGTCACACCTATGCCGGTAGTTGTTGGGAGCACTATGCTCGAAGTTGTTGACGAGTACGTTTACCTGGGACAAATAGTCCGACTAGGTAAGTCCAACTTCGACCGAGAGGTCAATCGACGGATTCAACTCGGCTGGGCAGCGTTCGGGAAATTACGACACATCTTCTCGTCAGGTATACCTCAATCTCTGAAAACTAAAGTGTACAACCAGTGCGTGTTGCCAGTGATGACTTACGGATCAGAGACGTGGTCCTTCACTGCTGGCCGTATGGGGACGCTCAAGGTCGCTCAGCGAGCTATGGAGAGGGCTATGCTCGGAGTTTCTCTGCGTCATAGACTCAGAAATGAGGATATCCGTAGTAAAACCAGAGTGACCGACATAGCCCAACGGATTAGTAAGCTGAAGTGGCAATGGGCCGGCCATATAGCTCGAAGAACCGATAACTGATGGGGAAGAAAGGTTCTCGAGTGGCAGCCTCGTACCGGTAGGCGTAGTGTAGGGCGACCCCCCACTAGATGGAGTGACGACCTGGTAAGACATGCAGGAAGTCGATGGATGCAGGTGGCTCAGGACATTGCTTGGGGGAGGCCTATGTTCAGCAGTGGACTTGTGAAGGGCTGTAATGATGATGAATGATGATGATGATGATAGAATATTTTGCCATAGGTTAGAAAGAGAGCGATCGTCTTCTCGAAAGCCCCGTAAAAAGCCCACGCGAGCGAGGGAGACAACTATTAGCTCTATTAAAACTCATTTTTTATGACAGCAGCAGTATCGCTAAGGCAATACGAGGTCATCGGTCGACATGTGTCGAACAGTGGAGTGCGCGGGAAATTTGAAATAGCTTAAAACATTTTACGAGTTATTTTATTAGTTGATATTATTGATTGATATTATTGATTGATTCAGGTTTAATAAGGCAAGCCCGGCTTTTCGGCTTTAATGAAGCTTCGCCACTGCGGGGGCCTATGTTCACCAGTGAACTTTGATGTGCCTTTAACGACAACGGTAAAATAATTTCCCATTTTGAAATCGGTGCTAACACATACTTAGTAGAAGAATAATTAAAGTCCTGTTTTCTATGGCTTTTTTTTTTTTTTAAAAAAATTTTTTTTTTTTTTGTTTCTAATTTAGTTTCAGGCTACCTGCGTGCGACTCAGGGCGGCCGTAATCGGCATCGATGATGAGGACGACTCCACGTTTACCATCACTGTCGACCACAAGACCTTCCACTTCCAGGTGTGTACGTTTTTGATAATTCTAATAAAATTAATTTGTTGAACAGGCTGAGTTGCTATTTTTAACGATGTATGTTGGTCACGCACTAGGACGTAAGTAAATACGGGCGTAAATGTTACGCTGAAAATGTGTGGATCATGCTAGGTCAAACAATTTCATTTGTCATTGACAATTAGAAGCATAGCGTACCAACACCGATTGTCAGACTTTGATGTATTTGTGTATCGCCTATGTTTCGCACGGGTGTTTTTTAATCTCAAAAACAAAAGTGCTACTTACCGCGTCTAACTATAACTAAAACCATGCGATTGACCCTATAGAAATTTCTTATATCTATGATTGACCCCATAAGTACCCCATAGAAATGTTATTAAAATCGGTCAAGCACAAACAAGCACTGGAGTTTTATTTATAATAAGTATTACAATCATATGTTGCATGTTAATTGATTAATAATATAAAACAAACATAGAATTAATTTATAACTTACTTCTAAAATTATTTATTTAAAAAATATATTTTAATGGTTTATTTCAAGAGTGACTCCTTGCATCTAATTAAATTCTAATTGACAAAGTGGCGTTATTTTTTTCCACAAATTTATATATAAATGAAAGAATAATTCCTTTAAAGTATATTTCAATATTTTTTTTATTAATAATTCCATTTTTTAGTAATTATTGGTAAAAATGGTTATATTTTAAAAGGAAAAAACGACTTGTGAATGGTTGTGACGACATTATATCCATTGAATAAAACTATTTATACGGATTTTTTCGCGTTTAATTAACTTATTTTTAATTCCCGACGTTTCGGGTGCTTTACAGCCACCGTTGGTCACGGAGTCCCCCCCTCAGTTAATTAAACGCGAGAAAATCCGTAGCCAATGGCAATCATGTTATACTTTTGTATTTTCTATATTCGGATCACCATGTGTCATGATGTGTCATAACAAAACATATATAACCTGTAATGTGAGTATATGAATACACAAAGTACAAAAAATAGAATCTGTACTGTAATGATAATTTTTTTAATTTTGACAACGTAAACATGAGTGTTTTATCATTTCACCATGCGGTGGCATTACTAAAGCGATATAATGACGTTTGAATTTACGTTTTAGAAAAGCCATTTTTAATTGTAAAATTACATGAAAAATCAATTGTTATTTTTATTTTATATTTTTCTCAATAATTTTAGTGAACAGTCTAAAAAATAATTATTTCGTATTTGTGTGTTAGCTCATCTCTAATGTATGCATATTCAATGCATCCACTATGCAGAAGGAATTTCTTCTTCACACAGTCCACCCGATACTAAATGGATGCTGTGGTCCATAGATATGCACATCTATCCACAGTAAAGTATCAAAATGCAAATGCGTTGCCATCCCTATGGACTAAAATGGAATAGCTTGTTTCTAGTAACGTGGGTCTTCGATTATCTACACTCACCACACGAAACCCAGCAGCATCAGTTGGTATTCTGTGAGAACGTCCTTCCGGCAAGCCGACCCGCTCGTGCTGCATCCATAATAACTGCAGCGACGCTCTACTACGCTACGTATACATCTATCCCCGATTAACAATAAAAATTCAGACGACTTGTCACAGCTAAGGATCAAGTAGAATGCATCGTTTCCAGTAAAAAGGGTCTCTGAGTAACTCATAATTTTAAACAAATCATACAATACACTACACTGGCCATCTGTGAGAGCGTTGTCCTTTCCCGGACGAGCCGGCCGATTCGTGCTTCGACCGTAAACCACCATAAAAACCAAAAAAGTAAATTAAAAGGGACTTTTAATAAGTATTATTTGTAATCCATATTGAATAAAAGAATTTCTGTTTCTATTTCTGTTACACACAGAGGTTTGACAATTGTGATTTAGTATAGCCACATGAGTTTACTTTAGTTTTTTTTTTATATTAGTTAAGGTTTACGTTACTTTAGGGTGAGAAACTGGGTGATAAAAGAAGAGTGTGGTTTGCAAGATGATGCGGTGACCAGGATTAAGAACGGAATGCTTCGGTAGTTTGGTTATGTGTGAATCAATGAGGAAAGACTGACAAAGCAAATATATGTTGCAGAAGTGAATGGAAGCGTCGGAAAGGGATGCCCTAAGTGAAAGTTTGTCGACCAAATTGGCGATATATTAAAAATGGGCCAAATTAAGAGTACCATGTGGAAGAGGCGAGGGAGATATGTTAGGATCATGCTAAATGGAAGTCTATAGTCTCTGCCTACCCCTCTGGGTGACAGGCGTGAGTGTTTTATAAGTTTACTCGTGTGATAAAGCCACGTTGCAGCTATACTATGGTTGTAGAACGAATGTTTCGGCTCGACCGGGGTAGGACCAGTTTCATAGAATACCAACGCAAAATATCAACTTAATGCTGCACTTTGTTTCGTAAGGTGACTGTAGACAACTGGAGATACTTTTTACTTGATTAGAGGCATTCCATCTTAGTTCTCATAGGTGACAACGCATCTGCATTTTGATTATTAATTCAAGATAAATGAAGATGTCTGTGTGTCCACATTCACTTTCCACCAGGAGGACTGTGTGCTCGTTTGTTATCATAAAAAATCCAGAGCCAGAAGAGTTCGTGATAGTATATCTGCAGCGTGATTCTAACACGTACAAAACTTGACCTTGTAACCTCTTAAGCCTCATTTACATTCAGCCCCTGCCACTGCTCCTCGTGCTGCCGGCAATACTTCGCTAAATACTACCGTAGCAGGATCGCGGGAAGTGTGTATTTACATTCTGCCCTACCATTCACATCACTTTCGGCTTTCGACTATGACAGTCGTCGAAATAATTAAAGCGTCCGCGCTGTGTCTTCTTGCAATACAAAATTATGTTAAGGGGAAATATAACCTCAAATGGCTTAGCAAGATCGGAGGATCTTGCTAAGCCGTTTCTATTATTATGCCGAAAGTATTGCAGCATTAATTTTGAAATAAATATATGGTAAAGTTGAGGATTAATGTTAAGGTTTATGTTAGACGAAAACACGATTCCGTAAAATTTTCTCGATAGAAAAAAAAATCCAAAGTTACCTCCAAACTGAACAATAAACCGCTGCTATTCATAAAATACTTTAAATAAGATCATGAAACTTTGCATACTAACTGAACTAACTATAAAGCAGTGCTTATCTTATTTACTTTTTTTTAAAATACCATTATTTTCACTGTAAAAAGAAATTACCTAAACTATCGACGCGTAAGCTTGATTCCTGTCGCTCCGTTAGTATTGCTCCGGCTTTTGAAGGGAGAAGTTGTGTCGCTTACGATCAGAAAACACATTACGCAACAGTAAGACGTAAAATTAAAATGGGAAATAACCGTTATAAAAATAAGAAGCGACTGGGTTGGCGTTAAGAAACAGGCATATATATGATAAACCTAATGAAATAAGTATCTAACGACCAATCTACTTAGAGTATTAGTGATTACAAACATGTCGGTACATAGCATACGACGCGCGGGGAAGTGGGGGCGAAATTAGAATTTGAGCTGACTTACTCTCACCTCTTAATAATTTAAAAAGATATCAAGTTCAAAAGAAGATAGATAGATAGAAAATTTATTTGCTTAAAACATACATAAGATGTACATATAGATGGTACATAAGTTCAATGACGTGAATGATCGCAAAAATGATATGAAATACATGAAATACAGCTAATTACACAAACCCAATGTTACATTTTAAAATTATTGCATTGCTTAAAAGTTAGATACAAACATTATTTTTGAATTCAAATATGTACAATTATTACTCTATTTGAATTCTTATACAGTAAATTGTTCATAAATTATTAATTGAATTATTACATAAATAATATTAAATATTATATGAGATTAGTTAAGATATTATTATTTTAATAATTACACTACAGTATAAATTAATTCATAATTTTAATTACAATAAAATTATAATTTAAAAATCTCAGGCTATTATGCAAGTATTACCATTTAACTTATTTTACATTTTAATAAATATATAATCAATATTAGTTACTAATCATTTTTAGAAATAAAATGTCAATGTTCATTATTTCCTTAAACTAAATTTTATATTAATATAATAAATTTGACGAATTTATAATTAATTATGTACATAGGTACTATGTTATCTCAAAAAGAAAATTCGTATTCGTAGAAGGTGAAGAATTGTGGTTTTTATCGTTGAAATCCCATATAGTTTTTTTCTGATTATAGCAGTTCTAAAACCTTTATTGTATTTTCATTATTCCACTCGAAAGGCATTTTGGTAGATCGTACTTATTTAATAACAAGACGGCACGCACGTCCGTTCATCCAGGCGCTTAGCGCGAAGTGAGCGATGGAGCTGAATGTGAACACTCACTGCCGCTCGCGCTGCCCGTCCTTTGACTTCCGCACGAAAAACCGACATTTGTGGGATCGTCGGGCAGTGGCTGCGGCAGCGGCAGTGTCAGCGCGAGTAGCCTGTTTACATACTGCCCTGCCCACTGCCCTGCTCACTGCCCTGCTCGCCCTGCCCACTGCCCTGCTCACTGCCCTGCCCAACAGGGCTGAATGTAAATGGAGCATTAACCCTTTTATCCTGTCCCATTCGTGATCTTAAGGACCTATACTACCTCAAATGGCTTAGCAAGATCCTCCGTTATGTCGAAAATATTGCAGCATTAATTTTGAAATAAATATATGGTAAAGTTATTATTATGATTAATGTTAAGTACTATGTTAGCCAAAAACACGATTCCGTAAAATTTTCTCGATAGAAAAAAATCCAATGTTGCCTCCAAATCGAACAATAAACCCCTGGCATTCACAAAATGCTTTAAACTAGATCATAAAACTTTGCATACTAACTGAACTAACTATAAAGCAGGGCTTATGTTTTTTTTACCATTATTTTCACTGTAAAAGAAATAATCTAAACTATCGGCGTCCTGAAAATTGTTGCCTGCCGCCCGAACCCGATAACCCCGCTCAGTCTC